AAAAAAAAAAAAAAAAAAGAAAGAAAGAAATGTAAGCGTTTTTGGACGTGACTTACCGAGATGATGCCAGTATTGTCAAGAATACCAGAACCACCAGAAGCATAGTTGACGCCATGAACGATCTTCATCCCCTTTGTCGAAGGGTCGGAAAAAGTTGGGATGGAAGAAGGAAGGCCGAGATAATCTCCGAGAAAGTCGATCACATTCTTCCCATTCGTAAACCTACCCGAGGGACCGAGAGGAAAATCCATTCCATAAGGAAGATAATTAGCCTTAGCTCTCGAGTTCTCTAACACGTTATTGTTTCCATTGTCAACTAGAGAACTCCCAAAAACAAACATCCCTTTTATCCCTTTATCATACCCTTTTCTTCCTCCTTCACACCATGAGAAGAGGAAGGAGAAGACAATGAAAGAAAGGAGCAAGATGGTTCTTGGATTCATGTTTTTTCTTGAAGAAAATGGATAGCATGGAAGCTCTTTTATAGCAAAAGAACGAACGAATTAAAGACATGCTTGTGGTTACGTTTTTCGATCACTAATTTTGTTTTTATTATCTGCTACAAGGGGAGTAAGATTCAGATTATCTTGTTGATCGAATATCTCAAGTCAAGAACACTTGTTTGAGATTCGAATCATTCCACAAGTAAGATTGATCATGTCGTGCTTGAATGATTCTACATACAACCTAAACTACATAGAATTGCAAAGAAACTTATCCATTAACTAAAGAAAAGCACAAATACTTACGAATAAGATGTTTGATAATCAAATAAAATAAAATATTTTCAACCATGAATTGTTTTTTTGATATCTTATAACAAGATTTTGAGGGGTTTTTTTTTAATATTATTATAATGCTTACGTGATCTTTGACACTAAGATCTTCAATTAATTTTTTTGTATTCAATTTCTTCAACGGTGGTTCATGGTCTATACCTACCTTACATATTGAAACTTGTTCAACTTTACAATGACATAAATTATAGACGCCATTGTTGAATGATGAGACCTCATTTTCAAGTATTTGAATGGTAGTTTCTTATGTCAAGCCAATTTCTGTATTTTTCGAATAATCTTAGAACGGTTGTTGAACTCTACAATTTTTTAATATGTTGATGTAGTTACCATGAAGTTAGAATTTCAACTTTACATGAAGTCGGGCTGTATGTATATTGGGTTAGGTTGAGTTGAAGAAATCTTTTGGATCTCTTTGCTAGCAAATGTTAATACTTTATTCTCTTCCCCAACCGATGTGAGATCACACAATCCACCTCCCTCAGGGCCCAACGTCCTCTCTGACATTCGTTCCTTTCTTTAATCGATGTGAGGCCCCCACCCGATCTCACAATCCACTCCCTTCAGGGCTTAACGTCCTCGTTGGCACTCTTTCCTTTCTCTAATCAATGTGAGGCCCCCACCAGATTTCACAATCCACCCCCTTCAAGGCCCAGCGTCCTCGCTGACACTCGTTCCTTTCTCTAATCAATGTGAGACCCCCAACAAATCCACCCCCTTTGTGGCCCAGCGTCCTTGCAGACACACCGCCTCATCTCCACCCCCTTCGAGGCGCAGCCTCCTCATTAGCTGTCACCTGGTGTCTGGATCTTATACCATTTGTAACAGCTCAAACTCACCGCTAGTAGATATTATCCTCTTTGGACTTTCTCTTTCGGGTTTACCCTCAAGGTTTTTAAAATGCGTCTGCCAGGAAAAAGGTTTCCACACCCTTACAAAGAATGATTCGTTCTCCTCCCCAACCGATGTGAGATCTCACCTGTTGAGTTAGTAACCTCAGTAATTGGAATAGAATTCAAACTCTATCTTAACCCAACACTCTATTTTAAAGGTTGAGTGGGTTGGATTGTTGGGTTCTTTTATGTATTATTTATTTTAAAAAAAAAATTATATTTATCCACGGTACATGTTACATTAATAACTAAAATCTCATAAAACTCAAATATTAAACATTCACAAGCATAAACACATTACTAACATCGATTATAAACGTAAAATATTTTAAATTTTGATAAGAATATTGAAAATATAGTAGGATTGTAACCCTATATTTGAGTTAGTCGAGTTGACTTAACAAAAAAATGTCAACCTACGAATTGACTCAAGTTTTAAATTTTTTTTTAGAACTTCAACCAAACCTAAATTGAAAAAAAAAAAAAAAATCTAACTTAACCTAATCTTTCACGATTTTGGTTCAATATTTTAGATCGGTCGAGTTATTAAGCCATATAAACGCTCCAAGATCCCATCTTACCGCAACCACTTGAAAGGATGATTAAATGAGGTAGTTTTGTTCATTCATTACAAAGTCAAACGCAATGGCCAAATATATATATATATATATATATATATATATATATATATATATATATATATATATATATATATATATTATATATCTGTTATTTATTTATTTATATAATAAATGCGTTGGTGCGGACCGCGTGCGCCTGGCTGGCTGTTGGCGTGTCGGCCGTCTGCATGGATGGGCTGCAGTGACCGTGGATCAAGGCTGCTGCGCTGGGCGGTGCGACATGGGCTGTGGATCAAAATCGACACTAACTAATTATAGCTTAAAATCTTAAAAATAATATTCTACCACACACATATATATAAATAATATATAAGGATTTTAATTTATTTAATGACTCGAAATTTTCTTCTTAATCTAAAACTAAGAAAAACCCGCCACGTTCATTTGAGAAATGTTCTAGTATTCAATATTCACTTTTGTGATGGTGTTGTTCAAATTTATTACAAGGAGGAAAATGTTTGAGATACAATTACAAAACGAAATAGAAAAAACTCTTTTGTGACTGCACAACTCTCGCTCCTCCACCTCAACTGGCAGCCTGGTCAGTTACTCGAGATTCCCGATTATTCCATTTTCTAATGTTAGCAATGTATAGCGGTCAAATAGGATCATTTTCTGCTTGAGACCTTTTACTATTTTTTATCATGTGAGAGTTAGAATTAATTCCCGTTTATCTACTTCTATTGATGTGGGAAGGAAATAAACGGTTGTATTCAGCAACAAAGTTTATTTTGTACAAGGCTCTTATCGCATCTTTGACCTAGCAGGAGACCACAAACTTTACTCTAAGCTTTAGGTGTATTGCTCTTGTGTGTGCATAGTCTTGGGTAGCTAACTTAGCCTACAGAGCTGTAAGTGATGTCTGATGTTGCGGCACTACCTTAACAAACTCTCTCTAACAGGTGAGGACAACATGGTTGAGGACTTGCCTGTTCGTCATCCATGAGAGGTAGTTGGTGAACCCACCCACAAGCTAGGTAGTTGCCCAAGGTCTATGGACACTACCCCTTGTACGTGCCGACTTCATTCACTACCTGTATGATCAATGCAACGCTTACTCATAAGAAAGAACCACCGTGCAAGGTAATCCAAGCGAAATATCAAGTCACACGTCTGTAGCCAGCCTCATGTCAAGCTCAATGGTACCATATTAGAGTGAAAAGAAAAGTGGAACTTCTATAGACAGTGTACAGACAACTATTAGCCTTGAAGGTTTCCTTTATCTTCCAAGGTTATCGTGGTGGTCTTCTATGTCTCTAGGATGGTTTGGTAGTCTTGACATGGATTCATGTCTCCAAGTTTCTCAGACTCCCTGAGTCTTGTTAGTTCAAGAGCACTAGGGCCCACGCCTTCTAATTGTCTCTCACGATTCTAATGCCCTTAGGTGGTTTGGGTCAGTGGTGCATATCGGATCCAGCGCAACGTGTCACCCTAGCCGATGGACTCATTGTCCTATTCACAGTTCAACACATGTCATACGCTAGGCCACCCGGTCCAAATCAACTCAAGTTTTCTACACAAACCTTGCGAGAAATCTTTCAATTACAACATACTAAAAATTAAGAACTTAATTTCAAGAAAAACTCTCGAATATGAAGGAAACCCAAAATCAAGAACCCAAAACGCTTATTTTCAATTCTTCCTCAATTCTTGACCGATTTGAACAAATCAAAAGCCCATAATGATTCTCCCAAAATCACAAGCATTTCTCGGGAATGAACTCTACCGAAATTCTGACTCCAAACTACCGTTTGGAGCAAATTCCTACTTCCAAACTCCTCTCTTCCTTTCCATTTCTTTCGTTTTTTCTTTTTTTTTCCACTTCCATAATTCTGATTAGGTCATTAGCAAAACCCCTAGTTAGGAACGAGGGGTCAAAATGACAATTTTACCCCTCATTTCACTTTAAAAGAAAAATTGGGTATTTTATTTCTTATGTCAAGTTAATTAGAGTATATCTCGAATAATTCCATAGGATGATTGTCGNATATATATTATATATCTGTTATTTATTTATTTATATAATAAATGCGTTGGTGCGGACCGCGTGCGCCTGGCTGGCTGTTGGCGTGTCGGCCGTCTGCATGGATGGGCTGCAGTGACCGTGGATCAAGGCTGCTGCGCTGGGCGGTGCGACATGGGCTGTGGATCAAAATCGACACTAACTAATTATAGCTTAAAATCTTAAAAATAATATTCTACCACACACATATATATAAATAATATATAAGGATTTTAATTTATTTAATGACTCGAAATTTTCTTCTTAATCTAAAACTAAGAAAAACCCGCCACGTTCATTTGAGAAATGTTCTAGTATTCAATATTCACTTTTGTGATGGTGTTGTTCAAATTTATTACAAGGAGGAAAATGTTTGAGATACAATTACAAAACGAAATAGAAAAAACTCTTTTGTGACTGCACAACTCTCGCTCCTCCACCTCAACTGGCAGCCTGGTCAGTTACTCGAGATTCCCGATTATTCCATTTTCTAATGTTAGCAATGTATAGCGGTCAAATAGGATCATTTTCTGCTTGAGACCTTTTACTATTTTTTATCATGTGAGAGTTAGAATTAATTCCCGTTTATCTACTTCTATTGATGTGGGAAGGAAATAAACGGTTGTATTCAGCAACAAAGTTTATTTTGTACAAGGCTCTTATCGCATCTTTGACCTAGCAGGAGACCACAAACTTTACTCTAAGCTTTAGGTGTATTGCTCTTGTGTGTGCATAGTCTTGGGTAGCTAACTTAGCCTACAGAGCTGTAAGTGATGTCTGATGTTGCGGCACTACCTTAACAAACTCTCTCTAACAGGTGAGGACAACATGGTTGAGGACTTGCCTGTTCGTCATCCATGAGAGGTAGTTGGTGAACCCACCCACAAGCTAGGTAGTTGCCCAAGGTCTATGGACACTACCCCTTGTACGTGCCGACTTCATTCACTACCTGTATGATCAATGCAACGCTTACTCATAAGAAAGAACCACCGTGCAAGGTAATCCAAGCGAAATATCAAGTCACACGTCTGTAGCCAGCCTCATGTCAAGCTCAATGGTACCATATTAGAGTGAAAAGAAAAGTGGAACTTCTATAGACAGTGTACAGACAACT